TCTAGTATTAATAGCAGGGATTGACCATTCATAGATATATAAATGTACATGAGGAAAAAATTATTCAAAATTTCCCTTCAACTCTGAAACACAAAATATGTACGTGTAGCATAAATTACAATACATGTATGGGTTGAAGAGTCCCTGAATTGAGTTTTTTTTTAAATACAATGTAAGAGAAACAGAATGGCAAAAGTTTGAAATAAATCAGACCAATACTAAGAGTTATGAATGTTTGAAGTATGAGATCACTAAATAAATGTGAATCTCAAATTGGCAATTTGGTACATTCATGTAGACATTGATAACTCTTCTGTTTGTTGTCTACTTCACCTCTGAAACATACATGTAGCATAAATTACATTACATGTGTGAGTTGAAGAGTCCCTGAATTGGGTTTTAAAAAAATACACTGTAAGAAAAAGAGAATGGCAAAAGTTTGAAATACATGATGTAGACATGTATGGATAACTCTCCTGTTTGTTGTATACAAAACATAATCTTAAGTGCCTTCTTCCTTGTGGAAATTATCAGTTTATTTACAGGTCCTCTTAAGATATAAAGAACCTTCTGAGTCATACATGTACATGTTTTTTTTCTTTTTCATTTACATTTTAGTCATTCTGTGTGTTGGAACAAATGGAAAAGTTGTCCGCCACTACATCCTATAGACGTTACTGATTCAGCCAATTTGAAGAGCCCATACCTACATGTTTTAATGATTACAAATTTACAACTTCAAAAATGTGTACATGTAACTTTGTCACTTTTAGTCTGATTTAAATTTAAATCAAATTGTCCCCATTGTGCTTCTTATATTTGTTCAGCCTTCCACTGGTAGTTTGCTAATACTAGAGAATAAGGTGGATTTCCCTTTAACATATATATTAGGTATATTAAATCTTCTGTGAGAAGAGAGATTATGGTGTCTGTTTTTCACTATTGCAGCAGTGCAGTGGCAGATCCAGATTGGGGGGGGGGGGCCGCGGGACCCCCTCACTTGGCCCCATAAACAGGTAAATTTAACCTTTTTTTAGATTTAAAAAAGACGCCCCCCTGGAGAAAGGGGGGAGCAAAGGGGGGCCGGGGGTGGTGGGTGTTAACTCGGTGCTCAACATTTTTTCACGAATTGGGCCCCCTTTCAGCCGGCCCCCTCCCTTTCTGCAGACTGGATCCGTCCCTGCAGCAGTGAATTCCACTACAGTCACATAAAGGTCCCAATAGTGTCAACAATTAATTTGGATAAACTTGCATAAATTTGCATAAACTTCCATAAATGTGAGTGCAACCAAGATGATCAATTACAGAACAGGGACAACCAACAGCTTGTTCGCTAGACTGGTTAGAATAGCCTTAGGGCTAGGTGATAACATGAAATATGATATGGATGTCACTAAGCCTTAATTGGCACCCATATCGAGAGTGACACACCAAATTGCTATCCCTCCAGTATCAAATATTTACATTTTTTGTTAAATGTTTGTATTATTTTAAAGTGATTTGTATGAGAAGAAAGAAGAGTTTATATTACTAGTCCTACAGTATAGTAATACTAATCATACTAGTATTAACAGCTACCACCAGTGGGTAAGGTTATTTTAGTGTGGGTACTTCTAGTGGTTATTATGAACAAATTTGAATTTTTGTTTTATATCAATTATCAGTCTTGATAGGGGTACGGGTATCAATTAAGTGGCTCGGTAACATTGCCTCAGATTCTGAAGAAAAAAACTCCTGGATTTAGCTCATGCTGCAATCATGATTACAAACAAGCCGATTGCCTAGCTGTCTGATTATCAAGATATTTATGATTGGAAATCAAAATTTTATTTTTTGTTTACCTAACAGTTTTTTATTACATTCATGTACACTACAGTCTTTTGGGGAAAATGAGTATGGTAAAAATGGTAACTCAAACTAACAGATTTTTACTTCTTTGAGGCATTTCTATCATGATCATTTTGAAGCGCAATTTTGTTTAGGGCTTCAATATTACACCATATCACAGGCACTGATAACACGTAGGGCCATACAGCTCAGATTGAATATTATTAAATGATGGGTATAGGCCAAGTGATATCAATGTTATTAGATCTACAACCTGCGTCTAGCAGCTACCATGAGCTGAGGATGCATGATGACACCGACAGTAGCCTATACGTGTGAAAAGTTGATGCACATGGGTCATATGGCAAGATTATTAAGAAATCTGATTTGAACGTCATATGCTACCTTACGTAAAGTCCACGCCTAAAATGCAATCATTAGAGTCACAGTTTTTGATATTTTATATCGTATTCCACCCAGGCCTGCAGGGCAAAACCACTCCAGCAAGGCTAGAGTCAATTAATGCTTAGGCGTATTGTCCTCTAGCGCTGTTACATGTACGTGCTGAGAGGCAGCAATAGCACACGATGAACACATTGCACACAATTGCACACTAATGCACACAATGTATACAAAGTGGTTGATTAGCAAGTTTGACAATAGACTCACGATTTGAATTTTTGAATTTTTCTTTCTAGTCTAGATCTATATGACTATAGACTAGATTCTAGATCTCTAAGTATAACTATAACATAGACCTAAGTTGAAAAAATTGTATGCTATTTAGGTGTCATCAACTCCCGGCCCCCCCCCCCCCCCCCCCCCCACTCCGAGAACGGATGGACCCCATGCGTGTTACCAAAATGTCCTTTTCGTAACAAAAGAAAAAGGTCGACCCGTATTGACTTTACACACCGGACTTTTGCTGAAAAAGGCTTGTATAACAAAAGAAAAAGGTCGACCCGTATTGACTTTACCCCGGCCCCCCCCCCCCCCCACGCAGGGGTCGGAATGACCGCATGCGTGTTACCAAAATGTCCGGTAAAGGGGTACTTTTCGTGCGACAAAGTCCGGCCCGAGAATTGTAAAAAAAAGGGGTGTATTTGACTTTTCACCCGGAGATTTCTTTAAAAAGGGGGTGTTTTTTCTTTTTTTCTCTCATCTCTTTTGACTCCTGAGAAATTATTCTGAATTTAGGGGGGTGCATTGAGCATTTTTCCTGATTTAGGGGGGTCTCCAAGGCAGGAAAAGCCTGTGAAAAGCCCGCGAAAAGGGGGTTCGAAAATGTTAGCAGTCCTCAGATAGGGGGTGCTTTCAAAAAGAGGGAACGAGCATATGCGTACCCTAAATAACACTGAGGGGGGGGGGGGGGGGCCAGGGACTTTACACACCGGACTTTTGCTGCAAAGGGGGGGGGGGGAACACGCATATGCATACCCTAAATAACACTGAGTGGGGGGCGGGCATCAACTATCACTAAAGTACCGATTTTGAGTGAAATCAGTTGAGTTTTGTACAGTGTAGTTTGAAATGCTGAAAATCAATATGAACAGTTTTTAATACACAGCTGCACAGCCAGGATAGTAATGCAGCTATGTGTGGGCAAAACCAGGGACATGGCTCGTGATGTCCACCAGTCTAGGTATCCTGCCGGGCGGGAGCGGCGGGCCCGGCGCACCTGGTAGGGCTATTATTTCCATTTGAATGTGCAAGTTAGATTTATTTAAAAAAAGAATAAAATACGGTGTTACTGTAGAACCTACCTTAATCAGACGGATGGGCACATAATAGAGACCTATCTTGATGTCAGGATACTAATGTGGTCTAGTTGTTTCAGTCGGGCAACCGTGTTCGTGAAAGAGAAGAAAGACAGCTGCACGATGCGATGGAGAGTTAGCTCGAGAGCGGGCTGCCGTCGCGTCCGGGGCATGCATCGCAGGCGGTCAGATCCGAGCTTCCAGCGTGGCCGTGGATGCGCCAGATTCAGAGCGAGTGCTAGTTTCTCGAAACTGCCATAAGTCTAAGCTCGTGGAGATTTGGTAGAAACACGTGTTAGATCTCTATCACACGTTTCAATACGATGTCTAAAAAGTTAGACTTAATGACGGTTTCGTGAAACCTCCCCAGGTGTTCGGTGTCGGGGATCTGGGCAGCGTTTCATGAAACCGTCATAAGTACAAGTCCAACGACATCCCATTGAAATGTGTGTATTAAGTTTAACACACGTTTCAATGGGATGTCGGTAAACTTGTAGTTATGACGGTCTCATGAAACGCTGCCCAGATCCAGTGGATGCCTGGTACTGGGAGGCGCACGCCCCCCCCCCTTTTTTTTTTCTCCCGAAAAAAATGTGTTCGCATACATATTCTGTTTATGCATTTGGATAGGCCTCAGAATCTGCCAAAAGGCTAAGATTATCCGGGGACCGCATCCAGTTGAAGGCTTCATTCTCGCAATTTCGTTTATTTCAAGCTTCCTCCCCCCCCCCCCCCCCCCCCTCCCCTGTAAAGTCTTTGATCTGCCCCTGGATGTATGGCCGGGTAACCTGGCGCTACAGTCGTTTGTAGAAAAAAATGTTGCTGGGCGCTGTCGCCTGGTTAATGACTCTAACCACAAAAAGTAGGTCTTAAAATAGCGTTAATGACTACTGGACGCAAATCAAACACATGTTGGATGTGATACAAAAACGGGTCAATACATATTGCATCATTTTTCCAAAACTGGTCAATGACTTTAATGTCGCAGCTCGTATCGGGTGCATTAACAGTATGGAATGCAATTTAGTGTTGAATCTAAACATGAATGATCACCTTTACATGTTTTAATTAGTTCATTAGTTATTAATTGCTTCAATCTGATTTAGTCTAATAGCAATAATACTAGTGGGTTTTTGTCTAGTGCTCAGGTCTGTCCCACTTGAATAAACTTGTGCTCCATTGTTATGACAGGGGATTCAGTACATGTACAGTATGGCTGTTATTACAGGGCTCAAGTATTTCAAGGAATAAAACTAAACCATTTAAGTCTAGTGAGGAAAGTGCAGCTTAATGTTTAGCAAAAAGGTGGTTAACATTGTGGCAGGGATTCAGACCCTGTATCTTGTTCACTGCCCAGGGACAAGTAGTTTTTTTCATATCAGTTATTTTAAAATTTCACTCAACAGACTATTTGACATGTTGAATGGGCGGAATAGGTTACAGAAAGGTTACAAAGCACCTCTCTTCAAAAGTACTCGTCCTACCTGGGAAGCCTACTTCAATAAGACAAAGAAGATGCTACTGTCACTGAAGTTAAGTGACGGTACTCCCGTTGCCTCAAGCAATAGAGGAACACCAGTCATAGGTTTCTGTTTAGCGATGGATGGATTCATCTCTCTGGCAGACCGGTTCTTCAATGATCCTCAATCTGGAATAAAGTAAGATTATAGACAATTATAAATACCTACTTAATTCTGTGTAAAATATTCCATAGACTAATGAAAGCAGGAGGAATGTATTACAGGATTATTGATCGACTTCCATTTTTTTTCTACTTGAAATTTGATTGTTGGACATCCTTTATCAATATGACAAAGCACAATTATCAAGTACATACCGGTATTAACTATCAAATAATACCTTGAAGGGAAAGTCCACCATGACACATGTGTTAAGTTGGTTTTAATAGAAGCAAACAATGAGAGGAAACGGGTAAATGAAAGGATTTGAAGTTGTGATCGATGAAACACAAGTTGGCCATTTCTTGTAAGTTACTTGCCCTGTACTTTTAAAAAAAATCTAAAGAAAAAGTTTGTTCATACATTCACCCTAAATAAAATTATTGCAAATATATTTGTACATAACCCATGTACATGTATGAAACAGGTCTTTTCTGTCATCAGTAACTAAGAAGAAGAAAAAAAAATAAGAAATCAAATTCCTTTTCCATCAAATTAATCCGCATTTATTTGCACTATAATTTTTGGTTTTAATTTTAAATATTGCAAGAATTAACACACACACAAACAATAAACTAAAAATTAATAATAATAATTGTGCTATTAATACAGGTACTTCCTTCCCTATCGTCTAAGCCAAGATCAACTTGAACTTCACTTTGCTAAGATTCGAGGAAGGGGCGGTTGGAACAACAATCCAACATCAACGCAATTTCAGGCTGCCTACAGGTAACAAACAATGCACTTAACAAATGTATTGCTTTTAAGATACATGTGACCCTTGACTTTATATTCTATGCATAATTACACTAGTGTAAACATAAAAGAAAACAATGAGAAGTTAACATTTCATTGTTACTGAAATAGCAGCGTACTTTTTAGAGAAATTATATGCCTTAATATATACAATGTTTCAATTACTCATCACAGAGCACTATTAATCAACTCCAACATACCTGTGAGTACATCAGGAAATGCTACATGGTTTCTAGAAGCAATGGGAACCAACATCCATGAAGATCGGAAATTGCCCTCTGATGGGGTCATCTCGGTTGAAATATCGACCATTGAGGCACAGACATCTCCATCCACTTCTCCCCCTGCAGAACTCAGCATGTTTCAACAGAATGTCACAGCTTACATTGCAGGATACACTATTAGGAGTATACAAGGAAAATGCCATGTAAGTATAAAAGGTTAAATTTGTAACAAGCACAAACTTTAAAGCTATCTGAAATGTTGGAAGCGCCCAAAAATTGATGACAAAATTTCACTTAAATTGTATCATAATGTGAAAGAGGATGTCATTTAAGACACATTTCTGCAAGGATTTTCAAAACAAATGTATTTTATGTCGACTATTGATGAAAGAATACTATTACCTGAAATGGACCACCAAAAAAATGGTGAAAATTTGTATTCAGCCATTTTAAATAATTTTTATTATTGGATGTTGCACTATACGAAAATACCCCACCCCCATTAATCATTTCATTTATATAATAAACTCGATGTCAGGTTATTCTGCATTCTTCAGCACTAAAAACATAAAAATGGACATGTATATTAATTACAATCTGAATGTAATGTTTGAAAGACATGATATAGGAGGTTAACATACATGTAAATATACATGTAAAGTTAGGTTATTGATTATCTGAGTAGGACTCAACAGTCTCAATTGAAGCTCAAGCTGTGTAAGGATTATGAGTGAAGCCAAGTTTGTCATTTGATCTTTCCTCCATTTTGTTCACAATCAGTCCTGTGATAAATGCAAGGAGGCACTAGTAGACAGGACAGATGAGGTTCCAGAAGTCTACTTGCAACTAATCAGGTTGAAAGACAATGGCGGTCTAATCATCCCTTCCAAATCTGTACTGAACATTGCAATGGCTTCCGAAAGAATCTTGAGAGAACAGGGTACCAAGCCCACGATTGGACAGCATATAAGAGACCAACTGTGTGTTAAAATCATACACAGTCTCAATCATGGGAGTCTTTTTCCCAACTTGCATGAGCAGTATGACTGTGATTTTAGGAGAAATCATGTACTACAGCTCATCAAGGACTTTGTAAATCATTACCTGGTTACAAGGTTGCACTTTGTCGCATTTACATATAACAGGGACATCCGTGGGCAAAGTATTCGTAATCATATGTCACGGATGGTGATTTTTCAAAATCAGTAGCTTAAAGGCCAAGTCCACTCAAAAAATAACTTACTTTAATAGAAGCAGAAAAATAAGACAAACCAACCAAAAAAAGTTTGAGCAAAAATCGGATATCTAATAAGAAACTTATACATTTTTGAAAAAGTCTGTAAAATTATGAAACAATGAAAATCACAAGACAAATTGGAAATTCACTCATTTGATTTGATTTATTGGTTTCTGCATCTTTTTTCTTTTTTTCATCATACATTTTCATAAACATAATATGGCTTGATACAATATTTCAAGTGTATATAATTTTTATACAGATAATAAACGATATTAAACACATATATTGAATTTAAACAAATATATTGAATGGAAATTAACATACATTAGATGCAGGAGGGCTACAGTAATAAGCAAAGTAGCTTGACGTGCCGGCAGCCCTCAAGTTAGATACAACAATACAAATAAAAATAAAAAAGAGTGACTTGCAGAGAAGAAAAGGAAAGGGGAGAGAAGAAGGAGGAGGAGGAGCGTCATGTCCTCACTATCCACTTATTGTTTTCTTTATATTGATAATATAAAATTTCCTATTTCCCCTCTAAGAATCTTATTTCTTCACACCAGCATCAAATTTAGATTGAAAGTAATTTTTTTTGGTGTGGATGCACTACTATAGAGTAACTTTTTTTCAGAAAAATGTGACTTTTGATAAACTATTCAGAAGAAAATCAATAATTATGAATCTACAATATTCAGAAAATATTATCAATTCTTCAAAGTTCATAAAAGATTTTGTGCAATGTCATGCAGGCATTATGATACAAATCGTATAACCTCTGCAACGGCATGGGGAAATCAAGTTTGGGGGGATAAAAGGAGAAATTAATAGGATTAAACTATAAACACTGTCGCTCATAAAGGTGGAATATTTTAGTTTTTATCCCATAATGCATGGCCGTCCAGAGGATTTTTTTTATGTTGGGGACCGGGGTAAAAATGCAATAAATTATTGAAAATTTATTGCATTTTCTGTTTTTTTTTTATTTATGGAAACTGCCCCCAACCCTAGCCCCCGCTGCGTACAGTCATGGTTCAGTGACAAAACAATGGCCTCGTAACTGTGAGGCCCCAGGATCAAAACCGTGTCTATGTGCTATAGAAGTGCCCTTTTGTGAAGCATTAATCCTCATTACTGTCATTTATGACTTAAGGGCATAGGTCCCCTAGTTGATAAGCATAGTAGCATACACATGCTTTAGCAGTCCCGCAAAACACACATTGGCAAATTATTATTCAATACAATCTGAGAATGTATACTATTATCTAGATCTATTATTTTTAAATTATTTTTAAAATAATTCCATATATTAGGGTAAAACTAAATAATTCCACCTTAGTTTATGAGCGACAGTGTATGAAGCAATTGATAAATACTGAGGACATGACGTCACAAACTGTTAACCAAATTGGCAATTTGCGTAGTGATTTTAATTGTTCTATAGTTTTACATAATTTTTCAAAACTTTCTTATTAGTTATCCGATTTTGCTCAAACTTTTTTTGATTACCGGTAGTTTGTCTGATTTTTCTGCTTCTATTGAAAGTAACTTATTTTTACAGTGGACTTGTCCTTTAAGCAGGAGATTCGTTGTAACTCGAGGTGAAATGCTTACACTCGTAATATACTTGCATTACTCGTAACAAGCTCGCGCTGCACTCTTCATAAGGTGGCGAGTCGCTACGAGTTATGAAGAGTGCAGCGCGAGCTTGTTACGAGTAATGCGAGTATATTACAAGTGTAGGCGAGTTCACCTCGAGTTACAACGAATCGGCGAAGATTTTGGAACTTCAAGGAGAGTCCTTGACAAGCTGTAATACATGATTTCTCCTGAAAATCTGAAATCACAGTCATAGACATGCTCATGATAAGAGTTGGGTTTGCCTAGATCAAGTTTATTGAACTTACTTATGTTGGCAAAAGCATTTATTGGACACAGAGTCACATTCATATTTTTGTCCAGGTTGCGCACTGTGTATGATTTTCAGGGAATTTTTATCCAAGTCGCATCTCTTATTCAGGAATATCTCCTAAGTTTTTTCGTTTATGGTATTACAGTGCGACCAGCACACAGCAGATTCATATGTATTCTACTTCTACTTCTATGATGATACACATCAATGCCTGTTCAGCATCTAGATGAGGGTAAAGCATAGAGTTGTTATATACAGCTCTATGTGGTATTACAATGGATATTTCAGTTTTTATAAAAATAGCAAATTGCTTATGATATACTATCAAAAAACCCAAAGACGAAGTGAAGAGTGCCACCATATAACGAATACTGTGCGTACAGTGACTGTATATAGACAGCTAGCATGGCGACTACCAGCTGCTACACCGGCTGAGACCAGACAGTACAGCCGCACAAAATAGATCTTAAGAGACTAAGTCACAAAGTTATCCCAGACCCAGAGTGCACTTGAAATGGGGGCATAGAAGTAACATCCCAGCATTTTGGGTATTGGCGCTAACAAGAATTGCATATCATCTTCAAGATGACACATTTATGTTTATTTCGATTTACATATTAGGCCAAATTTAAAAAAAAAAAGTTTAGCGTCCGATTTTTTTTTGAAAAAAGGAAGGAGGAGGCCCTTTTTTTTCTTCTTTCAAAATGGCCGCTCAAAATGGCCGCTCGGTACATTTTTCCGGACAGTCTGGCTATTTTTGAAGATGGCCGCCAGTATTTTTTTTAATTAAAAAAAAAATCAGAAATAGATAATTTTAGCAGTATGTCACTTTTTCATGTTTCTATTCATTAAAGAAAAACATTTATAAAAAATATTTAAAAAAAAAAAAAAAAAAAAAAAAAAAAAAAAATAGGAGGCGGCCCCCAAAAAGGAAGCGGGCGGGGACGGTAAACATTTATATTTTTTTACTACGCCTTAAAGGTACTATGTCCCATTTGCAGGCCAAAAAAATGAAAAAGTTAAATTCCAAAGTTCTGCATTTGAAAGATAATACTAATTTCACTATGAACACGACTTGAAAATATCTTAAATTATGCTTGTCTTTTCCTTACCGCTGGAGACTTGTATATGCCTTGTTTATAACTTATTTTGATTCTCTTTAACGCTTCAAATTGTCAGATAAAAATAAGATATAATGACCTTTCAAAGGTATTTAACGACCATCAATACTCCAGACCTACAGGCAAACGATCTAGATGACATATTTTATGATCCCACGGGGAGTGGAAACCACTTGCACTTTTGGTCAGCTAAACGTGTATTCTTCGCTCAAGGCCCTAATTCAATTCCAAATTTCCAACGTTAAATTGCACAAGGGTTCGTATATATCTAATTTCTGCAAAATTCAGAATAAACAATAATATTATTTGCGGAAAATAACCTCGTGTCAAGTTTAGCTGAATGTATTATGTGATGCTCAAAAAGTTGTAAAACGACTTTGAATTAAAGAGAATGTTTTTTTCTTCTTCTCAAAGTATGTGTGTTGATATGCAGAGAACATTTTGCCCAGGCCTTTATGATTAATCGTACAACGGCATAATAATTATATGCACAATTTATCATTATGAATTATGAAAGCTGCTTCTAGCCATTTGACACCTTCTTCCCTATGTATTTCTGATACTCTCTATATTTGATTGTTTCGTAACTTGCAAATAGTTGAAGGGATTATACGAAAATCATTTGCATTTTTCTTCCTCATACTTACCTTAGAAATATGGGTTTCCAAACGTTTGAGTAGTCACTAGTGGGTGATTCCCTTAGCAAATGATTGAGTTTATTAGTTTTTTCATGTTGTTGGCATATCAGACCCCCCCCCCCCCGTGCACCCCTTCAATAGAATGCTGCCATATGCCCGTGCTTCCCTATTGACTTTACACCCATGCCTATATTATTATTAATGCGTTAAAGGTAAAGACCAGTAATGGTCATGCGATTGCGTTGTGAAAGAAACGTTGTGGAATCGATCAGAAAAGGGCGATCATCTAGCATCTAGCATCTGCAAGGTTCTGGAATCATCAAAATGATAAGAAATTTGGCTCATTCTTCGTAAAGTTACACGCACTATACACAGAAAGATGTATATGGGACTACCCTATCTCTCTCACCAGACCATGAGAGAAATAAATTTACCAAATATATGAATTAGTAGGCGGTTTCCCGGCAAATTTTTTATCATCATGTATTAGTCAAAACATATTCTTTCACATGATTGGTAATGAGAGCTTCCATTTCATTTTTTGAAATTGGGGCGTTGCCAATACTGGTCTTTACCTTTAAGTGTGAATGATCGTTAAATGGCATTTTGTCGGTGTTTGCTTTTATGCAGAATTCTACCTATCTCAAGTCCTGGCCATTGGATGAATTCGCCTCAATATGCATGATAATAATTGTAGAAATAATATTAATGACAATGTTAAATTAGTAATAATAGTAATGATAATGATAATAATAACTACAATAATAATGATGATGGTTAAATAATAATAATAATGATAATAATAATTATAATAATAAGAATGATAATATCATTACTAATGAAGGAAAAGTGTATACAACGCAAACACTTATAGTACGCCATCTATCTAGGAAACTATTCCGGGGCGCATTATGAGACAAGAAGCATAAGAATTCAAAAGGAGAATTACAGTAGGCTAGAGAGAATATTGCACAATTGTGTTGAACTAAATTTATGTACTGCATGCTTTTGAAAAGAGGCACGATGCAGGAAATGTGTCCTAGTAGGGTGGCGCCCTCTCGAGGATATTTGCGACTAGACAACCATCAAGTCATATTTTAGCAGCGGGTACCGCGTAATGAATCCGAAAGCAATCGAAATGACTGAAAAGCATCAGTCACAGTTGAAAAGCAAATTGATTTTCGGGGAAATGTTGATTAAGAACCACTTTAATATTTAAAAAAAAAGGTTTACTCTGAAGAACAAAAAATAACCACACTAAAGCGATTTGTGTGTGTTTTATTTTGGGTCTACTTCCTTAAATTTCAAAAGCTAGTAAT